AAAATACGTACTTTCTGACAATAAATTTTTCATTATTCGAATCTTTTTACGGCGTTTTTAGTGAGCACGGAAGCCGGCAGAGTTCCGCCGAGCTGGGTAAAACGTCGCAGGAGCATTCGAGCGTTGTCAAATTTCCCCCGTAAACGATGTATTTTTGCGGTGGTCCAATAATATTTTTTAAAAATTTTCTAGTTTTTCCAGGAGTTGGAATTTAAAAATACCTGACTCTTCTTTGACTCTTTAGCTTATTTTAATAAAATTCCCTGACTCAACTCAAATGTCTTTTCGAGGGTTTTTTATTTTGGAGTTATTTCTTTCCATGACTTTTTTTTTATTTGGATTGCAGAGGTTTAAAAATGGCCGGAGTTGCTAAGGCACCTCTTTGAAAAACGTGTACATCACTACCCTTACCATCCTCTTTTCTATGACATTTCAGGGTTTTCTAAAGTGCAATTCCCTGACTTTTTCATGACTTTTCAACGGTTCTTCACAGATTTTAAGTACTTTTACGCGATTTACGCGTGCCAGTAGGGCTCGTTTTTTTTCAATTTCTTCGACATGCTTTTTCATGAAAATGTTTTGTAAGAAAAAAATTTCGCGTGAAGTCTCCTGAATTTGAAACAATCTGTCAGTCAAGAAAGTAAAGGTAAAAGTTCCGAGTACTGTTGATCATGCGAGTGGATGGGGTATAAATTAGTTGAATGTTCAACCAAAATAGTTTAGCAGCTAAATTCCCTGACTTTTCCATACGCTTTCAATGACTCCTCAAGAGCTTGTCACCGTGTTTTCCGATCGAATGAAGAATAGAACTCTCTCAAAAAATGGGAAAAATTTCTCTAAAAATCTCCCGGCACTAATTCCATGTTTTGCTAAATGAAATTTGACAACATCCGAATGGCCCATAAGACGTTTTTCCTCGACACGACAGCGTTGGGCGCCCGATGGCAGAATCCTGAGTCCTGACGGAACCTGTCTGCTGATCCAGTTATTGTTCTTTTTCTTTTTTTCTTTATTTTTTCATTTAACATGAAAGAACAATGATCTGCCCTCCACGGGTGCGTTGCCCTACGGAAACAGCCCATTTTGTCATATACAATTACTTTTAAACTTGTCGCATACCTCTGCTCTGCTGAACAAGAACCACTTAACTTCAATTTGAGCCATAAATACTGCCGTGTTTAGAAAAATCTGAGGGTATGGATTCGATCGACATGGCATTATCGAAGAGTAAAAACGTGAGCCGATCGACATAATTCAATCGGTTCGACGGTTTTACGATCAAATTACGGGTTTTACAATCGATTCACAGGTTTTACGATAGATTTACGGGGTTTACGATCGATTTACGGGTTATACGGTCGATTCACGGGTTTTACGATCTATTCACGGGACGGGTCTGTCAACCGATTCACGTGGTTGTCGATCGATTCACAGTTTTTGGTCGATTCATGGGTTTGTCGATTGATTCAGGGTTGTCAATCGCATCACGTCGATCGGTTCACGTTCCTGTTTTTTGATCAATTCATGTCGATCGAATCGACATTGGTTTTATTAATGATTTGTCCATCAGTTCACATCGGTCGAGTCGCGTTCTTAGTTTTCGATCGATTCATGTCGATCGAATCGAATTCACTCACCTCGCAAAATCGCCGTATGAACCTTCATACGCTGCAAACTTTATAAGTATAAAATAAGAATTGACAGAAGAACTCGTGCATTTCCCCACAGATTTTTCAGAGTTTCATTTGAAATTTGATCGAGGATAACTGAAAATTTCAAAGAGTAATATCCATGAATTTCCGAAAATAAATCTTTTCCCCGGGGTTTGGCGACGCACGAAATGCACGAATATTCGTCCTTAAGCCGGGTTGTCCTAAGATGCGGGTATGAAACACGGCCTTAGCACGACAGTATTCGACAAGTGAAGGCAGAATCCTGAGCGACCCCCCCCCCCCCCNTCTTTCTGCGGTTCAGCTGTTCCTGTTGTTATTAATTTTTAATTCGATTCACGGTGCCACTTGCAAAGGTGGATTTAACATGCGCCCATGCGGATAATACTACAACTTAGACGAGTAATGTAGGCAAATAGACTTGTGATGCAGGAAGATGGTAATTTTAACAGCAAAAATATCGAAGCGTAAAACGATTTTATCCAGTGTCGTTTTTCAACAAAGAATCTGATTAAAATCTGTTTCGAATTCAACGCACTTAATTTGGAAGACGCAGCGTCTAAATCGATGTATTTAGGATCCATATTGCAAAAAAGAAAAAAAAAATGTCTGAATTGGCTTGCATAGTTCCCTGGTTAAGATGCTGAACGGTAAACGAGAAGAGGTCTTATTAGTTACCCGATCGCATAATCTTAAAAGTTCGCAAAGTGAGTCAATGATTTCTCCAGCTGAAATCAATCTGACATGTTTATCTGTTCTCTAGGGCATCTCCGGATTTAACTCCACCATAAAGAAAACAGAGCGACTATTCCTTCTTTCCTCATGTGCAACGTTACTAAAAAGGGTAAACTAGTTATGGAAAAAAAGATTTCAGGAAGCGTTCGATGATGCCAAAAGTTCCGAGATTGACGCACTGCACCGAAGTTCTGCGAAAAGTGCATGCAGATGCTACGAAAATCTGGGGAAAAACTGCACGACTGAAATATCTTGTGGGAGAAGCGCATTTTTTGATCAACTAGTCCGACAACAATAAAAGAAATCGCTCGAGCAAAAATTTAACGAGGCAAATTTAAAAAACTCGAATGAACGATACCGAGAAAATAGGTCACCATTACTGCGAACCAGGCACTTGTTACGGGGAACTTTGGCATTTGGAGGAACAAGTTGGTTTCTTTCGACGTAACTCAATCTACATAATCCGATGGATGTAAAAATTAACAATATGACTTTTCATTACTCTCTTGAAGACTTCTCTTCGTAAATACTACCTTTTCCAGAGCCAACTTCATACTAGACTAGACTCCCTTAAGATCACTCACAACTTTTAAGACCAGTTGCATACCCTGCGCAAGCAAATTATGATGATATTCCGAGAAAATTCTGAAGATTTTCACGCACTAAGAATTTTAATCGAATATTTTGAGAAGCTGAGAAAATTTCGGAAACATTCAAACTGATCACAATATTCCACGATCATTCTCTTTGCTGATCGTTTTTCTAAACCAGTGCAAACATATGCACTCAGAATCGAAAACATTGGGGGAAAAAAAAAAAAAAAAAAAAAAAAATACGGCCGTGGAAGCCGTACTTACGGGCCACATAGATATACGTCCGCGTTCTGGAGTCGGAAGCTGAAAGCTCCGGGTGCAGCACCCGGAATTTGGCCTCAATGCCCGGAACGGACCTTACGTCTACAATTCTATACAGCCCGTAACTTTTATCCAATGGACAAGAAAAGGAGGAATTAAAGGTTTTCCAGCCATTACCGTTCAAATAGAGGTATTACATTGGTGCAAAAATTAAAAAGAAAGACAGGGAGGGGGCGAACCACGCTTATAAAATCAACTTGTATCCTTTCCATAAATTGCCCGATCCAGTCAGTATGCCAATGACCTTCTTAAACTCTTTTTCTCATAGTTGAAAGTAAAATACCCTGACGAACTTTTAAATTTAAAGCATATCCTTAGAATACTCAAAGCTTAAATTCAAAAAAACGTCTAGTTTCGCAAACGTTTAGTCAAATTTGTTTTTTTATTTTTGGGCACAGTAACTCCAGCGTCGTTGGTCGTTGTGCATTCTAACATTATTTCTCAGAGGTCGGCTGAAGAAGAGACCGTTATCTAACTGACACTAACAAAAATATTGAGTGCGATAAGTCATGCGCTTTGGTACATAATCGTTTTACTGTCGTAACAGTCATTAAAATTAGATGTAGGTCCGGGTCTCAGCAATACATTCTCATGATAAGAAGCGTGACATTACTTCGCTCACTTTTTTTCATTAATTCTGTTTGCTTACTTATTCATTTTGCGTTTTGAATACTGCGACGTGCTTACATGCCACAGTTTTTACGACTAACTTTGCCGAGATGAGAATTTACTCTCGATGTCGTAATGTGACTTCCCAATCGGTCACACCTGTAAAACTTTACGACAGGGAAGAAGACCAAATCAGGTGATAGTGACGTCAATTGATATAATCCAATACTGAGCTTTTCCCGAAACACAGACTAGCGGTTTCTTACCATCATGCATTTACGACAGTCAGTATTTGCGAACTATGACTGATCAAAAACAAATCATGCGACGCGACGCCAGAAATATTTTGATGGGTGTCAAATTGTTAAAACTCGCACCTCTCGTTCAAGAATTTCTGAATTTTCGTCAGATCAACAGGTGTTTCAAAGAGAAAAGGGTTTAGAATCTCCTGAGAACCCCCATCAAAGGTGAGGGCAGAGAGAAAGAGGGGCCCTCTCCTGACTAGGGGGTGAAAAAAGTTGATGGTCTGCAGAAGTGCCTGTCGTCATTTATAGGTGACCCCTTACATAAACAGCTGATCTTCCTTTCAGTCTTTCGTGGGCTGAGACTGAGGGGGGGGGGGCAAAATTTGGAAAAAAACAAGATGTAGGGGAGAGGTGGGGTGTCCTCCCTACCGAGGGGGGTGTGACCATCTTCGACGGGAAATTTTGAAAAATAGATACCCCTAGAAAGCAGTTCCGAATGTTTTCATGGTAAGTAGAAATATAACCAGAAGACTGATAATCAAAAAAATCTTTGGGACGCCCCCTCCCCTCCCCGTAGACACGCCACCTCTATTGAGGCTTACCTTACTGCACGCTAATCTCAAGATTTTTTTCAAAAAAAAAAGGAGAAAATCGTCCGAATACTGAAGCCATTAAAATCCATAAAATGGTAAAACCTAACGTCAACATCTCATGATGACGTCCCTAAATTTTAATTTTTTCTGTTTTTTTCTTACAAAAAGTAAAAATTTGGAAAGAGCAAAAAACGATTTTTGTAAAAAAAACCCTCCCGGCTTAAAAAAACTTACGAGGGAAAAGTGTCTCCTTATGGAAGGCGCGTTAATCCAATCACACATACGACAACAACACAGTTACACAGTCACAACGGCTCAAACAAAACACCCCGCAAAAAACCAAAAAACGCACACACACATCCGCGCGAGAACGCGTGAGGATTACATCACGTTGAGCGCCGGCGAAAAACAACGGCAACCGCGAAACGCTGACGCCAGGAATAAACTAACCCACATGGAGCCACAGGTAAAGGACAAGGTTTCGGGTCTTTGACAGTTGGCCGAGCCTGCCGCCAGAGCGCGCGCAAGGTCACCAGACACGCATGCGCGCCACCGCCGCGCTCCGGCACAAAGGGCTCCGATCTGCGAGATGAGTGGGAGCGCCAGAGATGTGATATCCGGTCGCGACCCAGTGTCTACACTCTACATTCTACACGAGTTTTAGTTTCGCAGTTTTCTCCCGCGGTCGTGCGAAAAAATCCGCAAATTTAGTGCGACCACGTGTTCGGCATCTGACCTCCGTGCTCCGGAGTTGTTGGCTGGGATCTAAGAAGCGTGGCGCCCCCTGGCGAGACGCCGGTGAACCGTGTCTGTTGCGACGCGACGCAGCGATAAACTGTTGCATCATCGCTCAAGGTCACGTGGTGAGTCCCGATTTGCTCTATGACTCCTTTCTCTCGTTCACGCTGCGCCGGGTGCTTCCGTTCTGGAAGAGGCGCGCTAGTCTTCCCGACATTCTTCAGGACGCGTTTCGTGGAAGTGAAGTGAGGTGCTCGTCTTAAAAACATAATCCCCACCCCCACCCATGAGCGTTCATCCGTCAGTTATGCTAATCCTTTCCGTTGCAGACCGCAGGATTGCGTTTTGGTCATCGGTTTTCTCGGAAGAAAATCGCTTCCAGACTAACAGTCGATCGTCGAATCAGGCATTCTGCCAGGAGGTTGATTATTAAAATTTTGCGTTTGTCGGGCGGACACAAATGGCATAGGTAAAGCGGCGGAGTATGATTGGTCGGCTATGTCTTGTCACAGCTTTGTCGCGTCTGTGTCGGGTAGAGTCGACGACATGCTGTCGAGAACCAGTGTTTGAAACACGCGCCGCACAGTGGATCGAGTCAATAGAAGAGGTCGGACAGAGCTTGGAAACTTTAAGCGCTCATAACTCCGTTTAAATAAAACTTTGAGGTTCTGAAAGTTGTTCCATTGGTTTTCTCGTGAAATTGTCTTCAAGGAGCACTCCTTTAAGGTTTAAAATGTAGCGATATGAACATAAAAAATTGCAGTTTTAGTCAAAGATTTCATGTCCGAGCTCTCTAATGGACTCGATCCACTGTGCGCCGCAGCTAAACAGCAATTTGCCGGTAAGAAATGAAACTAGCGACAAAGCCTTGGCCGCTGAGAAAATCGTTGTTAAACCCCGTTTAGGGGATTTTTCGGCACATTCCTGACTCGAGGCATTTCGAAAGGGATTTTTTTCATTTTGGTCCCTAGGGATCTGAGATGGCTCTTAAGAAAAAAAGTTGAATGGCTGCTAAGACTTCATGCCGAGTTTCAAACACTGTCGAGAACTTAAGTGGTGCCTGTAGCTTGCCGTCAATTCTACCCGACACAGGCTGTACAAAACAGCGATAAGACGTAGTCGACCAACTACACTCCGCCTTTTCACCTATATCTGTTTGTCGCCCGACGGACGTATCCAAAATTTCAATAATCGGCCTGCAGGCATGGTTCGATGGATCACTTGACAGTTTAAGAAGTATTCACCTACAACAAGACATGTTGTCGCATCAAAATTCCGCGCACAACACATAAGAAATCTTAAAGATGTCCGAAATTCGCGTTTCTGATTCTAAAACAAATCTAAATCAAAATTGCTTAAATAGACCGAAAGTAAGCTTAGGTACATAATTTGGTTCCAAATTTTCAGTCTCTTCTGACGCGCGATGCTATTACTTGTTAAAAAAAAGTCAGCGCTCTTAAGGACATGTTTTATCGTAACACACACTGAGATTAGTCTAGTGCCTACTATAACTGGAGCACACTTTGGTATGATTCAAACGATGGGGATTTCGAACAGCCAAAGTCGACTACAAAAACCGATTTAACTCGCTTGTGAGTTAAGTGAAAGGTGGAATCGTTTGATGTGTCCACACTTTTCTCAAAGATATTTTGATGAGCAAACATGTGTTATGATGCCTAACCTCTTGACCTATCATGTTGACCATTCTGAAAAAGCGCCGTTTTACACGTTTTTAAATAGAGATCTTGGTTTTATATTATTTTCAAAGAGAGTGATGAGGGAGCTATGCTTTTTTCCTTAAAATTTGTATTTAAAAATTTGTTTCCTCTAAAGGTTTAGCAATTGAAATTGTGCTAGCGTGCGAAGGAAATACGCGGTGGGGACACTTATATGTTGCTAAATTTACTTGGAGGAAAAAACACTTTCTATGTATAGTATTGAACATTTGTAATTCCGTAATTTGAGTATTTCCCCTTAAGATTTTCAGACATTCAAAATTGAGCTGTCAATATAATTCTTAAAAAAGAAACAAAAAAAAGTAATCACAAGCTATTCACGAAATTCGTGATTAATTTGGGGAGATTTGGCAACGTCCAAAGGTGCATACAGCGTTAGACCCTAGCAGGACAAAATTTTCAGACTTTTAAAATTGAGTTGTCAATACAATTCCTAAGAAAACCAAAGAAAATTAATCATAAGCTTCTCAGGAAATCCGTGATTTATTTGAGATTTGGCAACGTCCAAATGTGCATACGGCGTTATACCCTAGCAAGACTCGAATTCGGCTCGAAGAATTTTCAAAATGTCTGTCTCGTTCGGGACCAGTTTGGAGCCGCGCAGAGAGTGATTGTTGTGATCTACCGGACCATTATCCCACGCTGCGTGACAGGCTGACATGAAGATAAACGAACAGCAGTGGAAACTTCCCCTATTTCTTGAACTCCGGGTCAACGGAACGATCACCTGTGAAAAAGCGTCTTAGGGCTGTCGGGTTAAAGAATGTGATCGAAGAAATCCACGGATCACATTTTATCAATTTTTTATTTCTTAATTTATTTTATTTTTTGTTCAAGACAATAGGCGCTGATTATTTAAACCGAGTCAAACATTTGACAACAATTCTGCCGTGCTGAAGAAAAACGCCGTATGAACCCTCAGACGCTGCCAAATTTCCCTTAGTAAAATAATAATTTTCAGGGAAATCTTGGAATATTTTTCCTCCAATGTTTCAGAGAATTCTTTTCCGTGTCTCGTGCCTTATTTTGGTTGAAACTTGAAGCTGTATTAAATTTCGCTGTAGAAAATATAACTGCTGCTGTAGAAAGAATTCACAGAGAGTATGTATGAAGAGGGCTTTATGTTTGTTTCGAGTTTCGCACGCAGATGACCATTTATTTAAAAAAACGGGCTCATTTCATAGGATCGTATCCGTTTGCCTCCGGTCATAAGATATAAGCAAAGAAGTTCGAGGCTTTTGGATGAAACACAAAAAAAGCTTTGAAAATAATTTTGCTCAAGCCTGCAGTAATTTTTTCATGATTCATGACTTACGTGTAAACAGAGGAGGTAAAAGAAACGACGAGGGCAGCTATATACAACCAAAAATTGCAACTCACCTGAAAAATAAAAAGAAAGATCGCATTAAAAATATATCGAGCTTGGTGAAAATGGTTGATGACATTCACAATTATTTTATCTTATTTTCAACGAGTCATCATCAAACTATTACGAAACTATCATGAAAACGCCTGAAATTGAACGGATAATCTTTGAAATGTCATCAGATTCAATATGTTATCAGGTTCTCATCAAGAGATGAGAGCTTTGTTGCTTCACAAAATTCTGAGAAAAAATGAAAAAAAATATGGATGTCTTTTTTTGCATACCAGAGAGGTTTAAATTCAACACCTAATAAGCATCATCGGACAGGGTGTTGCTCAAACATTGGAACCGTTCCGCTCATTTCACTACGGTTCATGAGTCTGAGAAAAAAAAAAATTTGCCAGGGATATATCGTCGCTCCTATACACTGGAAAAAAAAAACACATTGGATCTGGAGTCCAGACTCTGAAAAACATCGACAAGAAAAAATACTCTTGATTCAATCAGATTTAAGCTTAAATCAAGAACCAAGCCTCTTAATTTAAGCGCATTTCGTTTTAGTTAAAGCAAAAATCCGATTGAATCAAGAGTATTTTTTCTTGTCAATGTTTTCAAGAGTCTGGACTCTAGATCCAATGTGTTTTTTTCCAGTGGTAAAGAGTCTCAATTTTCGCATGAGCCCAGGAAAGTATAGAGTTAAACGGAGAACAAGGCTCACGTGGAAATTGAGATACGCCCTTACGTCAGAGGAGTGATGAAAAAGGACATATAAGGTACAATTCTCTGCGATAATTAGTTCCTATGGCGTTCCCTATTTTATTTTTTTTCCACAGTTAATTTTACCGAGAAGCCTTAAATACCAAGTCGTCGGTGAAACTACCAGGCCACATATCTCGGTTTGCGACGTTGTAGACTTCCTATCATACTTTTTTTTTAAATGAAAAACCACTCACTGTCAGTTCTTGCAAATTTCAGTGGTTTTTCTTCCGTGTGCGAAGAAAACTTTGTGAAAATGTGGAGAAATGATATTGATTTATTCTCCGTCAAAAAAAAAAAAAAAAAAAAAAATTAGGAGCGGTGATTTTTAAACACCGAAACGAGGTAGGTGGTCCGGTAGTTTTACCGTCGAAGTATATTTTCACTGAGTATAGCAGTTCAAAAAGTGCAGCGCGCTATAAATGCCCGACTTTTTATGCACTCGTCGCGGAGGTCAGTGCATTTAAGGCTGATGACTCCCGGAAAATTTACCTAGAGCCGCAGAAAGTTCTTCGCGTTTATTTACAAAACAAAACAGCTCGCTTTTTTCACACGATTATTCTCTTTGCTGAGGTAGGCTTCACGTGCCTGTGTCCCGGTCAAGGTCTTGTGAGGTTTATTAAAAATGGTACGATTTATCTCTGCATGAGGTCGTTATCAGCTGGAACTTACGTACTTCGAGTGATAAGCCGTCACTCAATGTTTTTTTTTTTTTTTTTTTTTGGACAGTTTGTGGTCGCACTAACTGTGCCTTAGAGACAGCGGTGGGCTACTATTCAATTAACACGGAATGGGTCAGTTGCGCTGGTCACAGAATCGTGTTTTGATGCTCGATTCTTATGAATTAGTTGCAAATGAGTTTTGTAAGCTCTGTCCTAGAAGCAACTTTTTACGTTCAATATTAACAGAAATATCGCGCTTTGAAAAATTCGGTTCATGACGTCATCCACCGCGGTAGTGACACCCTTCACTGGGAAAAAAAAAAAACACATTGGATCGTCCATCGAGATTCGAGACTCTTGAAAACATTGACAAGAAAAAGGACTCTTGATTCGATCAGATCTAAGCTTAAATCAAAAAGAAATCCGCTCAAATTAAGAGACTTGGTTCTTGATTTAAGCAAAAATCCAATTGAATCAAGAGTATTTTTTCTTGTCGATGTTTTTAAGAGTCTGGACTCAAGATCCAATGCGGTTTTTTTTCCAGCGTTGATTTCTTCCACAACACTTTCATCCAAGTTTCAAGTTGAGCAACCAGTGCTAATGTGTGTCTCACTGATTGATTACAGAGAGGTGCAATAAACCAATAGTGTCACTGCCACGGTGGATGACGTGGAAAACCGATTTTTTTTAAGCGCGATATCTCGGTTAATGTTGACTGTAAAAAAATGCTGTTTGGTCGAATCTTTTTATTTTTAGCTAATCTACAAGAATCAAGCACCAAACAACGGACCAGCGTCAACGAACCCAGCGCAACGGACCCAAAATCATTCGTTGACTCGTTCACTGAGCTGAGCTGAACTGAACGAGATTTCTTCTCAATGGGCCTGTTGCAAACTTTTGCTAGAGCAAAAATAAGAGTTGTTTCTTGTAGATAATGCCTCAAAAATCACGATGAGCGCATCGGCAAAGTCTGAAATGCACTCATAACTTCACAATCTGCGTAGGAAATTTGCGTTTTTTTAAGCTTTCCGCTTCAAAAACGATACTACGGCACAGGTGAACATTTTGTTAGAGGAGTCGCTCCATCGTCGGCGATATTCATCATGGCCGACGCTTGCTCGCAGTTCCGTGCGTGATTCGAGGAGAGTTCAAGGTCAATCAATTCGGGCGTGGAAAATATGAACGTTAACACACCGATTGTTATCCGGTCTAATCCAGTTCAGGTGTTATATCTCGTCCCATCAAACGTGTTTCGGCGGATTGGCGTCGGCCATGATGATTATTGCCGACGATGGAGCGACTCCTCTTACAAAATGTTCACCTGTGTCGTAGTATCGTTTTTGAAGCGGGAAGCTCAAAAAACCGCAAATTTCTTACGCAGACTGTGAAGTTATGAGTGCATTTCAGACTTTGCCGATGCGCTCATCGTGATTTTTGACGCATTATCTATAAGAAACAACTCTTATTTTTGCTCTAGCAAAAGTTTGCAACAGGCCCATTCCAAGTCCATAATGAATTAACTAGGGGTACGGAAATTTTAGTAGAGGGACGTAAATCTATCTTGTGAGGATTCGATTACGCGTTGAGATTGCTTCTAAACGTAGTAGAAATGGGATAGGAGAAATTTTATGGAGAATATTATGCGTTAAGGGCACAGAAAAGAAGAGGGTGAACCGACGTGCACGGGGATGCTTTGTTCTCATCAGCGTTTAGCTAAAACTGACTTCTGCTAGGTAAAGACGGATCATCCATGGTAATGCATAAGAAAATTCAGTAATGTGCCGCACTGGATGGTTGACCGTCAAATCGATTTGTATTAATCATTTTTGTGTATCATATTATTGTATTATTTTTATTATTTATAAATTCTATCGCTTTTCATTCCAGATAGGTACCACAAAAAAATGGCTGTCGCGGCAAAACGTGCTCTCCGCAAACAAGTACAAGAGGTCCTAAAAAAATTAACACCGGAGGAAAGAACCACACAATCCGCTGAAATATTTTCGAAAGTAAGCTCATTTTCAACACGATTATCTGCTTTGAGATTAATCATTCAGAAATTTAAAACAAGAGTTGATTCACATAATTTCAAATGCGGTGCAACGTGGGTAACAAATACAAATGTGCGTTTCCCTGATGAGATGACAGATGAAACCATGGTGAAAGAAACCAAAGGTTTCTATACCTCGATGGATGACGTCAGAAACCGAATTTTTCAAAGCGCGATATCTCGGCTAAGATTATACGAAGAAAGAGACTGGACGGATCTTATTATTTCAAGCTAATCTACAGGAATCAAGCACCAAGAAACGAATCTATGACCAGCTCAACTGACCCATTAAAATAATACAGTTCATTATTCATTCTGATTGATTTTAATCCCTCCTTTTCAGCTGGTGGAACTTCCCGAGTATAAAAATAGCAGACGAGTCTCAGTTTTTCTGAGTCGCGAAGATGAAGTTTCGACGGACGCGATAGTGATTGATCTGCTGAAATCCAATAAATCCTGCTATATCCCGAAGTAAGTCTAGTCATCGCTCCATCATTTTATTCTGTCTTACATCTCCTGACCTCACTCAATATTCTCCGAGAATTCTGTCTGCCGTATGCGCGAATTGAACTTTTGCGTCATTAGTGATGACGCAGAGAGCCGAAACTGATAAGAACTTATTGGAGAGGAATCGAGGTCACTCGAGGATTCAAGTGACTATGAAGAGAGCGACCATTTTAATCGGTGGATGTTAAAAAATAATAGGTCGGTGTGCCTGAGAGCAAGTCAAAGAGTTTTCAGGGTTGCCACAGAATTTAGCAAATGAAATTCTCTGATATTTTCCTCATTTCCCTAACAAATTTTAATTAAATTCCCTGATTATTGAAAATGTACGAGATAGTCAAAAAGATTTTGACAAACCTGCCTACTTTGTACTTAATCATGGGCAACGTGTTACTGAAACTTCGGCGAGGAGTGACAGAAAAGACTCATTTTTCGATTTTTTGGATACGTCAGATATTTTTGTAGACTGATGCACATTCGAATGCATGTCATTTAACAGTACGGATCTACCTACGAAACCTATTCAATTATAAAACATTTTGTGTTTAGACAGCTGACTGGAGATGACATGGAAATGGTGAAGATTGAATCAGTAGAGGAATTAAAGACACTGCCTAAAAACTCATTTGGTATTCGTGAAGTGCCCGCCTCAGAGAAGAGAGAGGACGCTTTGGCCTCAGGTAAGAGAATTTGCTTCTCATAGTACAGTTGCAAAATTACAATTAAACGTGACATTACCATTTCATACTTTATCAAACTGCCATTGTAAAAGTTACGAAAATTCTTCATCGTCCTGAATATACTTTTCGCTATGGTGATGATTATCTAACGATAATTCTCGAGATTTTCGGTGAAAAAAATGACAATGTCATGCGCAAAAGAAAAAGGCGAAGCTATTTTTGCTTCCGATGACCTGGTCTACACGAAAGTCCAAATTCTTAAGAAATTTCCTAAACCTGAACCAGTACCGAGAAATCGCATAGAATGTGCCTCACATATGAAGATTTACATTAGCCTAAACAACACCTGAAGGAGTCTAAAATCAAATTTCGAGCAGCCTATGGAGTGAGGACTTGAGGAGGTTGGCTGTATGCGATCGACTCCAGTCGAAACGGTGTTTAAAACGCCTTCAATTCCACCGCATGCAACATGCGACACAAACGAAGTGCTACGTGTATACTGCGTCGCGTCGTTGTCTGTTGTGCTCGTGCCTCATGTCATATTATTCTACCGTGCTAAGAAATAACGCCGTAAGAGCCTTTAAATGCTGCCAAGTCTCCTTCGATAAAAACCGAATGTACTGGGAAAATTGGGAATACTTTTTTCAAAAATATTCAGACAATTTTGTACGCAGTTTAATCTAAATTATCTAAAAATTTCAAGGAAAAAATGTATGAATGTCGTCAAAAATGCATGTTTTACTGAGAGAAATTTTGCAGCTCCTGAATGTTCATACGGTTTTCTTCCTTGGCACGGCAGTTTTATCGTACGGCAAAAAGCGCTCTTGGCAGTGTCTTTGCTAGCTGATTAAGTTTTGACTTGGATCAGTGAGAAGGCATTTACTTCAAATTAATAACAGATCCAATAAAATCACCGACTAATTTCACTCTGCCTCCTTGTGTTCTTCTGTGCTGTGATTTTGAAGAAAAACGCCGCATAAGTATTCGAATGTTGCCAAAGTGCCTCTCAGAAAGTATTTACTTTTGAAAAACTTTATCAATATTTCTCCTTAAAATATTCAGTCACTCAAGCTCAAATTACGAACAATATATCCTCTAAAATTTGGAAGAAAAATAAATAGAGATTTTTCCGAAAGTTTGTGATTTATAGAAGAAGGTTTGGCAACGCCTAAGGGTTCAAACGGCGTTTTTCCTTTGCAGTATGTCCCTCCCTCTCAAATTAATCCAGTGCGCGTTTACAGTTGATTTAATCGAATCATCTTGTTTTCAGGAGGTCTTGACCTGATGATTCTGCCTGGTCTAGCTTTCACAGCAACGGGCAAAAGGTTAGGCAAAGGCAAAGGATACTACGACCGATATATCTTGAAAGCGCGGAAAGTTCGCCCGCCAGTTCTTGTTGGAATTGCTTTTAGGCAACAAATTGTCCCTGATATTCCAGTCACCGAAAATGATATTGATGCAGATATTGTCATCAGTCCATGATAACTGTTCATCAATTATTCCTCAGCCTATACATAAAAACATCTCAAAAGAAGTGGCAAAGGAGTCAAATAGGAGCCATGTGTTTGTAACTAGCGAGAGGAATGAAGTTATATTATTTAAAATTACTTAAAATTGCTGTCGATGTTATTTATAAGTTTGCCATTCCAATTTCAACATTCCGCATTGATTCAAGTATTTTAAAAGATCGTTCTAGTTTGAAAATTTGTGAAATAATGCAATTGTCGATGTGCCTTTAAAATGTTTAAGTGTGTTCAAAAATATAGAAGATAATTCATAAAAGAGACTCAATGGTTTTCCGTTCACCTTTCTTCATCATTTGATTTAAACATCCAATTGATACATTCATATTTCATAAGATCCCTCAAGTAGTCTAAAAACATCGAAAGAGATGAATCAACGATAGTAAAAGACGTAAGTAGTGATCTTTTACGCTTGATTCAGTTAGAGTTGATGCTTTCATATCATCTCTTGAAGCCACGTGCACCGATGATGCCAAAGTGAGCATACGAATTGATCGAATAATCTTAAGACTCTTATCAACTGACTCGCTTGCTTTTCAGTGACAAGACTTGCGTTGTCAAACTTAGCAATGTTTTTGAACTATTTGTGTATAAGAACAATAAATAAAAAATCGATAGATATTGCCTTGAGAGACGTGGTTATAACTCCAGGTTCCTGCATCAGAGTGTTTATTTTGTTCTATAATTTAGAGAAATTTCCAATACAATTACGGTCGTGGGTTTGATTGAGCTTTCCTTTTAAAACCACAATAACACTGCAATCGGGCAACTTTTAACTTCTGAGAGAAGGGGCGAGGGAAACTTAAACAAAATTTCAAGAGCTATGCTTGGAAGTAGAGTTCATACTTCTTGTCTGTTTTTTGAACAACTAGGTCAAAATTACGTATTCAGTTTTTATTATGTTCGAACTGTGAGACCATTGTTATACCGGCAAAGTTAACCAATATGTTGGTGACGAGTACGATGTATTTCCTTTCTTTCTCCCTAGACATTGTCAATAGAGGTGCGTATATTTTTACCAGTTACTTGAACGTTAAATTTTCCTCCTGTTAGATACTTTAAACACCATGAGATATGTATGATGCTTCGCAGCCCGTGACAAGATGTGTACAACAATAAACAATTTAAACGGCGGGTAAGAAGGATTTTTTTTCACACAAATAACACCAAAACGTTTCGGCTGAAAACTCAGCCTTCCTAAGTTCGATAAAAGGCAGTAAAAAATTTTTAGATCTCGGTTGCACCTGTCGAATTGAGAAGAATATTGTTCGAATGAATGTTGAATGTTGTTAAATTCTTGCTCCTAGATTAAGCCGCTCTTTCCTATTAATACCCGAAAATAAGGATGCACTAAAATCAAAAGCTCTTTTCGAGCTCATGTGATGTTCTTTAAACAAGAATAAAACATCACATGAGAGTCATCAGAGTCTGTTCATTACACAGACTCTGATGACTCCATCTGAAGACTCCAGAACAGACTCCGAATTTAAGCAGCATTAGACCGTGGGCCAGCAAGGGGTAACCCTCCCCCCCCCCCCCCCCCCCCGGTGGGAATTTTGAAGATGGTTATTTTCTTGAAGCTCTCAACTAGTAGAATAAGATTTTCCTTGCCTACGCGAATTTTATCGTGGTGGGGGGGAGTAGGCCCCCCCTAAACCCCCCAAAATTGCTCAGAATTCCGACTTTTCCGCGAATTTTCCCACTTTTACCCGAAAAGGCTTGATTTTAGGGCAAAACTTTACATAACCATTCTGAAAGCTCGTGAAATTCTGGTCTAGAAGAGTCTTAAGTGACTTTGACCAGGACCCGCGGTCCCCCAAAATGGGGGGGCTTAAAATGTCAAAATATCTCAATTTTCCGCGAAAATGACCGTTTCGCCGAGATTTCTCGCCAATAACGCGAAGAAGGTTGGTATTATCGTAAAATCGTTTACCCCTATAATAACAGAGCATTAATTTTTCATTCTAAGGGCGGCCTAACCCCCCGTGGGGGGGGGAGGCCCCCCAGCAGTACCCACCCTATTAAAAACCGTCAAGATTGGCCGGTTGCTTGAAGTAGCGTTATGCGCAAAAATGGGCGGCAAAATGAAAACAAGTAGCGTTTGCTCTGAGAGAACATCAATGTGGATTCTTGTGGGGGGTGACAGGGGGGAGGGAGGTACATCCTCCTCCCTCCCCCTCCCCCTCCCCCCAAAAAATAATCACGAAAAACGTTAATTAAACGCGAAAATTCCACTTTATAAGACGACTTCAGGGCTTGTCATTGACACGCTTACACTAACATAATTTAACGAGGGGGGGGGGAGGGGAGAGGGGTTTACCCTCCCCCCTCCTCTCCCACCCCCTCCCCCTCCCCCAAATAAATAATCACGAAAAAATGTAATTAAACGCGAAAATTCTATACTCTAAAAGGCGACTTTCAGGGCGTGTCATTGTCACGCTCACACTAATATAATTTGAAGAAGGGAGGGGGGGGGCGTTAGACGTCTTAGCCTCCCCAGCCAACATTAAAAAAGGGTGGTGGAGGGGTAATTTATAAACTTTACTTACTTAATAATAGGAGGGACGGCGAAACCTAGCTGCAGTAGGAGAATTTTAAGATTTGAAGGGATACGTAATTAAATCAGGGAACGTAGAGTTACTATTTTATTTTTTGGAAATGACTGAAACTGAGGGGAGTTTATTCATAATTAACGGAAATGTACATACTTAAGCTTATGTCAACATTTTTGAAACGTTTGGAGAATAGGCTTAAAGTGTATTGGATCGTTTGCCAAAGTATTCAATCATTCATTTGGTCACAGACAGATACTGCAGTGAACTCTGATTGACGAATAGTTATAAATTAAAAATAAAATAGTAACTCTACGTTCCCTGATTTAATTACGTATCCCTTCAAATCTTAAAATTCTCCTACTGCAGCTAGGTTTCGCCGTCCCTCCTATTATTAAGTAAAAAACGTTTATAAATTACCCCTCCCCCACCCTTTTTTAATGTTGGCTGGGGAGGCTAAGATGTCTAACACCCCCCCCC